TAATGATATGTGTGTGTATATATTATGCTGTGTGTTATATGATATTTTTTGGAGCAGGCATCGCGCTTTGTCACTCAGGCTGGAGTGCAGTAGGCTACAATGCTTTGGCATCGACTAAACTCCTGCCTCCTGGGTTTAAGCAATCCTCCTGCTCAGGCCTCCTGGAGTACTGCGGGCTACGAGGGCGACGCCACCACACGCGTGATATTTTTGTTTTTTGTAGTTAAGAGAACAGGGGTTACGTGTTTGGGCCAGGCTGTTCGACTCTGGCTCAGGTGATCCACTTGCCGTTGCCTCCCAAAAGTGTTGGGATTACAGGCATGAGCCCCCACCTGGCTCAATGATTTATTTGTGAAGCTGCCCGTGGCTAATAAACCTTGATTTGAGCTTTCTGGACGTTATTTTTTTAAGAACAAAAGAAAATGAAATTATGAAATAGAAATATCCAAGTCAATTTTTACGTTTTTCTCTGAAACTCTCAGGTATTTCAAAGTCCTTTTATTGAAAATTGCGGCATTTTTTTTTTTTTTTGAAATAGGTCTCACTCTGGTTGCTGGCTGGTGCAGTGGTGGGAATATGGCAGCTATAGCGACGACGCTCCTAGGTTCAAGCAATCCCTTAGCCTCAGCTCGAGTAGCGTGTGTGTAAGAGGTGGTCGCTCTCTCTTCTCTCTCCGTTGTTTGTAGAGACTGCGGTCCTGACTATATTGCCCCCAGGGCTGGTTGCCTGCAAACTCCCTGGGCTCAAGTGTCTCTGCCTCAGCTCCCAAGAGTTACTGGGACATTAAGGTGTTGATGCAAGCTACACCCGCCATCGTGAGTGTTTTAGCTTTTGGCAGGAACATTCACCGATGATCCTTACTGAATAAGTCATTAGTCTCAGGGACCTCCCGAATTAATCATTTACCGTGAATTCTCATTTTCTAGATGTGGAAAATGGTATAGCAAGCTTGATACAGTGCATGGGCAGTGGTATCCTTCTTGTGGACACAGGCCGGGCTAACCACTTTGCAGCTACTACGAACATTTCTTAAGCAGAGGTGAGGTTGTTTCACCCAATGGTGCGAATGATGCAAGGATCAGTATTCGACCCAAGTAGCCTCAATGTACAGACCACATGCAGTTACTTTTTTTTTGATATCTTCTGAAGACTTTAATTATGGATTCTGGCAATCTTAGTTTTATCCATGATGCGCATATTAGAGCCGGCATATGGCGAACCATCAGTACCATTAGCAAAGCGTAACCTGATGGGGAGAGTGGCTGCTCCTTAACCTCCCAGATGAGTCTTCGAAAAACAGATTCATTACTACTCAGGCCAAACGCCTTTGAAACATGTTGCAGACATACGAGGTAGTGTCTAGAAGCATGTCTGTTTCAAGCTAGTGATTAGTTTTAAAAAACAAATGGTTCAAGCAAGCTACAGTGGGTGTAGTGCCGTGTATGTTCCAGGACTGTTGGGGCTCAGGCAGGAGCAGGAACTGGGTTTGGCCCAGAAGTTGTAAGTCGCAGCCTGGGCAACTAGCCGAACCTGTTCTAAAAAAGCTTTTTAAAAATGAAAAACTAAAGTGGTTCTGAGAAAGAGCATTGTTAAATCAGCCTTTCTTTCTTTCGTTCTTCAGTTTTTTATTTTT